AGCACTCGTGTTTGTTTAGTTACCATGGGGACGTCATTTGTAGAAACACTGGAATAAGAGACCAGCGGAGATACTGTTATGATTCCAATCGAACTGTCAAAAGCGGTTCCAATCTGCAATGTTTACAAATGGTTTGCTTCAATTAGGGAGGAGTATTAAAATCGTTTAACAAGCACTCATGAACTCGCTCGTCGGTGCATTGGCGAAGTCACTTGCAAGCAGTTACAAATGCAAGTAATGCCAGGATTGCTTTGATGTTTATCTTGTTGCCAAATTCATGTTTTTTGTCTCCGCTGGTCTCTTATTCCAGTGTTTCTAGTCATTTGATCCCTTTAAAATTCAAGACCAACAATTTAAAAGGCCTTAACTCAATTTTGTAAACAAACCTTGTAAGGCCACTTTCTCGCGAAACGAAGTCCGCCAAGGGAAACCAACATTAATTAACAATTAACAGGTAGGGGAAAATATCCTCTACCCGATTGTGGTTTAGGTTTGCCAATGTAAGTTTCGGTTTGCGAGGAAATGGCCTTACAAGGATTGTTTCCAAAATGGAGCTGAGGCCATTTCAATTGTTGGTCTTGACTTGGCTCATTATTTATGAACGGCCCTTATATTTAACATTAAAGGCCCACGCACATTAGATCCGGATCAGACGCGTTGCGGCAAAGTGACAGCTAAATCTATTATCTAACTGTCAAATTTACGTCAACGCAACGCGAACGGATCTAATGTGGGTGGCCCTGAACGGTGGATGTCAAAAGGACGTTTCACGTTCATCTAGTGGTGTCCGAATTCTTTTTCGAATAATCGATACATCGATGAATGAACCGAAAAATCAATTCTGTTTAATCGGTTCTCCAGAGGATCACCCATCACTCATCGTTTCAAACATGTTATGGACTCTCATTGGTGGAAAAATGACAGCACAGCCAAAATGGAAGATCAGTGATTTTTGGTGTGGTTGTTTTGATAAAAATTCACCTCGACGACAGTGCCACAGTGACGTTTCTTCACACATTTCAGTGCCAACATTTCAAAGGGGCGTAATTGCAATTGTAAACAATGGCTTTAGCCGTCGATTTCCCGCGAATAAAAGCTCACTCATGAAAAAAATGACACCAGCAGGTAGAGGAATGTTTCCTCTACCAGTTAGCATTGGTAATATTTCATTCGCGAGAAATTTACGGCTAAAGTCATTGTTTATAAAAGCAATTACGCCCCTTTGAAATGTTGGCACTGATTTAGTGGTGGAGTGAGATAGTAAGAAAAGGTCCGCAAAGTTTCACACATAGACTGACAGTTACCTATGCCATTTCCCCCAATTAGGAGTAAAGAGTTACAGAGCTCTCGCCAACGCCAATTGCACAAAATTTCAACTCTACCGAGTGGGCAGAATAGCACAAAAACACGTTGCATATAGAGGGTATACATTGGATGAAAGGGACCGTGGAAGAGGACCAAGGGACCAATCAAGTCTGCACCAGGAGGTAAGTCCCTCTGCCACCTTGTGTTAACACCCACAAAAACACACTTCGATACACTTCAAACACCCTTCCGCCACATGGAAAGCTAATTTGTTCATCAATTCTGGCATCACTGCCAATAATGAGAGAGAACCACGGCAGTTGGATTGCACCGGACTTCGATGATTGAAAATCACTCAGGATACGGAAGTGACACGTACACGGCATTCCGCGACCTGGATACTATCGGGCCTACGAGAGCGCATTGATGATGGCGAGAATTAAGGTTTGAAAACGATAGCTAGATTGCTGGTATGTAGGCAGTTGGCAATGCAGCGTTTCGGGATTCGTTGAAATCCGATGGGCCTGGGAACTTTCGTGCGTGTGAATGCGAGTTCTTTTCTTTTGCGCAATGTAATCAATCTCAACTGTGGAGGAGGAATGGATGGATGATCCTTGACCACTGTCGTGTACTGTCTGTTGCTTGTACGTAGTGAAAATGTGAACGTCTCCACCAGGATTATGTTTGACTAAATAAATTACAATTTCAAAAAGTGGAAAAGCCCGTCTGGATCCGTCAGAATGCTCCGATGAATTCATGTTGATAGGTTGAGAGTATCACAGCAACAGTAAGGTGCTTGGAGTTCTAGATCACTCTGTGATCGTGCTTCTTGTAGTTGTTAATGGTAGTGTTCCGTTTATGCTATGTTGCCTTTTAGAGCTGAATTTTGTACATTTTTATGAATTGAACTAGCTGTTTTAGTTCGCCTTCCACATTTTCCTCTAATATCTTCGGTAGTTATGTACTTTGTTGCAATAAGCAAACAACAGCGAAGTAAAGAGACTGAATTGGGTAAAGAGGCGACACCTTATCCATTTGACAGGTCTCCTGCTCGATTGGAATAACTTTTCCTATGACTTTGACAGATAATCGATTGTTCCAATTTTGACGTGTCGTCTCTTTATAAATTCAGGCTCTTTAAAGCGAAGGAGTCGCTGGTGGATCCGTCGTTTTCAGCCTTTTTGTTATTGTCGAAGATATGGTTGCCAGTAAGCATATTTTTTCTGTTAAAGTTTTGACAGCTCGGTCGACACGAAGAAACAACTTCCGACACAATTAAAAAACACACATGAACCACAATAAGCACAGACACAGCTTTCTCACTTCTCGCATAACAGCATGGGGGTTTCCGGTCTGCAACTCCGAACGAGTATGATTGCGATTCTGAACTTTCGGTACCTCAATTTCCTTCGGTTTCCAGCTCCCGGAATCGCTCCTCGAATGGCCGCCGGATTTATTATCAAAATGTGCGTGGGCTGAGGACTAAAATCGACTCGTTTTTCTTGGCTGCTGCGGAGGCTGAATATGATACTGATCATACTGACGGAAACGTGACTGGACTACCAGGACCCTCATTACCGATGTCACTTCACGGTGAAGTGATTCCCATTTGATTTACACGGCAATCACTTCACCGCGAGTGAAAAGTGGGGCCTTATTACGGGTGTCACTACACGATGATAAGGAAGTGATACTCATAATAAGAGCCGTGATTGCCGTACAAATCAAATGGGAATCACTTCACCTTGACCACAAGTGACAAGTTTTCACCGTGAAGTGACATCCGTAATAAGCCCCGTGGTCGCTTCACTTCGATTTCACCGTGAAGTGACACTCGTAATAAGTATAGTCGCTATATTCATAGTCTGGCGAATAGAGTTTCGATCTATCAAAAAGCGGAACCACTTCAATATATTTTAGACCAACAATTGAAAAGGTACTATCAACTTTTATAAACAAAACGTTGATTATTCTTTCCTCGCTAATCGAACGCAATATACCAGCATCATTGGATAGGGGAAACTTTCCTCAACCCAAAGATGGTGTTAGTTTGCGTAGGCGAGCCTTGAGTCACGAGAAAAGGGTTTCCGAAGTTTTGTTCGCAATAGCTGATGTGCTCTTTTCTGTTGTTGGTCGTGATTTGCTCGATTGGTTCCGCTATTTGACAGTTCAATTGGTTCCCGAGATTCTATTCTCCAGACTATGAATATAGCGACTACAGTAATAAGGGCCCAGATCTATTCATCGCAACTCTTCGGATCATTTTATTCCGTGTTCAGAACTGACCGATCTTCCCTGAACAGTCAAAAATCGTGCGGTGGAGGCGTTCGTTCTGATTGCTGTCTCAACGAGACTAACCAGCTACCTAAGTACAGCTATCCCCCGAAGAACGCGTTACCCACTGAGTTGCAGTCACCGCTTTTTCTCGGCGGGGTTTCAACCAGTCGGTCTGATGTTTTGCATGTGAGTGCCAATGGAGAACTAGGGCCTTATTACGGGTGTCACTACACGGTGCTAAGGAAGTGATACTCATAATAAGAGCCGTGATTGCCGTACAAATAAAATGGGAATCACTTCACCTTGACGACAAGTGACAAGTTTTCACCGTGAAGTGATATCCGTAATAAGCTATCTAGTCACTCGCAGAAAATCAGAGCGCTTGGTTGAAAACCCACCGAGACAAAGCGGTGGGTAGAACTCAGTGGGTAACGCGTTCTTCGGGGGAAAGCTCGCCCATTGTCATGTCAGTCTACTGGAACAGCTCTGGATTGTCGTGGAATTTCCACAAAACATACTCAGTATATGCGCTGTCTACCTTCGAAAAGTATATGCGCTGTCTATCCGACCGAAAAAATATGACTGTACGATCATCCGTGAGCATGTGGAATCGTTAGGCTCGATTTCGTCTCGATTGAGTCCCCGCTCTCCCGCTCTCCTATTTGGCAACTACCACACCAAGCTGCCCAACTAGCAATTTTCACAATGTAAACGCTTTGCTCATTTAATTTATACAGCCTCAAGCTGTATTCAAATGCTATACGATATGAGGTAACCTTTACTCAACCTCTACATGCAAATCTAGCGAACATGACAATCATTCTTCAGAGAGCATTACGTATTTCAACTGAGATCCGTTCGTTTCTCGTATCAATGTTCATCCTGTATCCTGAGAGGAGCATCATCTGATTACAAAACAACAGACATTCGATTGCAGCTATCATTCGAAAAAGCGGTTTCGATGTTTTGATTTGAATGGTCTGAGCTTTCACTCGAACAGAGGATGATGTTTTGGTACAGTGTAGACGACCATGATATTTGCCAGCTCTGGATATGAGGTGTACGGTGCAGCTTGCTATGGAAGAAGGTTCTGAGTTTTCCATCGGCGCTTGAGTTCTTTGTCGAAGACTTATACGTCGGGAAATGAAATTTCCACTACCCGAGTATGGACCCAACGAGGTGATCAAGGTATCCAAACATCGACATTCATTATTGCCAATCCGCCAAGCATTTCGATTCCTGATTACATGGACTGTTCGTACCATAGCGATGTTATTGATACAGTAGCTAGCTTTGGCGAACGAACATCAGCAGGATGGGACGATCCAATCGATGAGGACCTTCAAGAAAATGAATGATCTGTGGGAACTTGGACACATTCACGTTCCAAGGTGTTTTACGTTCCCCCGTTCCGCTGATTCGTTAAATGTGACGCACGGTGCGTGCTCCATTCCTCGAAAGGAACTGTGCGAGGCGCTTCTGCTGACGCAATTGATCGGTCAAGTAATGCCAGCGATTCAGACGTCTTTCCAAGAAGTTGTCCTCTGGACGAACAGCACAAACGTTTTGGCATGTCTCAAGAAACCTCAAGCTTCAAACTTACGCGAGGAATCGGATTGCTGCAATACAAACGGAAACCAGAGAGAGCTATGTTCGTTGTCGTTTCTCGAGGACAACTGCTGGAATCGCTGAGGCAGAACAGCCTCTGATTAAATGATCCGACCTGATCCTGACCGAATCTGAATACGACGGTGCAGACACCGCAGAGATTCCTGAAAATAGTATTAAAAACCTAATGAAGGTCCACGATTTATAAACCACAATTAACAAACATTTCTATTTATGCTCACTTTAACCTTCTGAGAAAACCACATCCAACTAAACAGTTTTCAATTCGTCAAAAAATATCACAATCCAACTTTGTATTCTAAACTTTTTTGCTTTTCGCCGTAGTTACACTTCTTTCTTCCCGAATTTGAATAGAAACTAGTAAACTAACAAACTCAAATTAATTGGTAAAACCGCTAAGTAATAATAATAATAAGTGTGTTAACTTTTTTTTCAGTAAAATAATTTTCCCTTGTTTCTGTTGTAACATTTACCTAGCTTGTTCCTTTTTTCTTTCTTTCTTCGTTTGTGAGTTGGGTGAGTGAGTGTGGGTTTTGTCTCTTGCCAGAAGCCTCTTCACTTAAAAGCTAGGATCTAAGGCGTGTTTGATAAATGTGTCCACACTAATGTACAATGTATAGAGATACAGATTTAAAACTAAATTGGAAGCTATATGAAATTTTTCGTAGTTCTCATCATTTGTTTTCTTGGATTTAAAGCCTTTTCCGAAACCTATCAAACATTGGTCTTTGAGCAAAAGTAAATGTTATAATTAAAAGTAAAGTAACCTTGTTGTTTGTTGTTAGTTATCATTGGTGTTTTTATCCTAAAGAGGTGTAAACGTAAGTTGCGATTAGACTCGCAGGCGAAAAATACACGATAGAGAACCTAGAATCTATAATTCAGGAGAAGCCATTTTTGCATTGCTATTGCTCCAGTTGATAATTCGTTTTTGAGGCATGTTTCCTGTTCCTCTCTGCTAACCTAACGCGGCACTGTTGGCCTTTCTGTGGGGGTTGCACAATTCTTGCTGCTCGGAAACTGAATCCTTACACTAACCAGCATTTAAGTCGTTACTACTGCGCTGGGTTGGCTAAACGAAATATAAGCATCATACTTTAATGTATATTAAATAATTCTTTATACTGACTAATAAGCAATGACGGCGGTTGTGTTTGTTGTTTGTGTTTGCGTGGGTGTTTTCTGTTTGATTTGTTTTCTTCTCTCAGCTGGCGTTTACGACGAAAAAGTGCGTTTTCCTTCTGTTTTAGTAAGCTTGCTACTGAGTTGTAAAATTTGAAAATCACGCGGAAAATCGTCACGTTGCTTATGAAAGAGTTAATTGCATAAATATTACAATTTTGCTTCTTATAAACAAACAAAAAATGAGAACTAATAAATTGAACGAATTGTGTAAAATACTTTCTTTAAGCAAAGTACATAACTTTTTTGGTATCGGCATGTACGGTAATTGCACGAGCCATCGCGCCCGGCGTTCTGTCCTCGGAGCAACCGCTCTGGTGAGATCCTTCGCCCGAGTCGTGCTCTTTCTCGACCAGGTGGTACCTTGGGAAAGTAATTGTAAATTAATCGTTCAATAAAGAAAAGAAAATCAACACACACCTGGCCCTAAATGCCACCAGATGGGCGTAGTAGGCGGGTGCCGGAATCGAAACCGACCGGGTGCACCGGACGTACGTGTGGCACAGTTGATACGTGAGGCACTGGAGCTCGTCCGATTCGAAGTGATTGTCGTCCCACAGGACGTGGTAGTGCGACGGGCGGCTGGTACCCTGGAATTGATTTAAAAGCGGATCACGTTTTCATTAAACTCTATAAAGTTAGAAGAATTTTATTTTAAAAATCCTTATTCCAACGATGGAAACAACTTTCAAATGTGCACTTGACATCAGTATTATGATAGATCAAATTCAGAATTGATAGTGGAAGCGCGTTATTGAAAAACTTGCATCTAGAGCAAGTACATGCAAGATATGTATACTTCTTTATGATGGCTTTAAAATCAAATGATTCATAGGCAAATTCCACAGCGGTGGTATGCAACTCTTCATACGCATCGCACAAAGAAGAGCCCATACAATGAGCAAAAAAAAACCCACCCAACACTCACCTGAATACCCTGGTGACTGCAGAGATAGAAATCGAATTCGGTGGGATGGGTGATGCCAACGTCCACGGTCGTACCGGCCGGAATGTTGCCCGACTTGCCGCTCTGTTCCTTCTTGTCTGCGCAGAACAGTCTCGTGTGGTGACGCTTCTGCACCACAATGAACGTGATGCCCGGTTTGTAGTCGGCTTCCAGCTTGATGCACGCCTCTCGAATGGCCGTCAGCTCGTGCTGCAGCACATGTGGGAACTGACCCTCGGAAACGCCATCCCGGTAGAGGATGATCCGGTGCGGTTTGAAACCTCCCGTCGACTTGTAGAACATGATCAACAGCTCCCGGACCATGCTGCTCAGCTCCTGGATGATTTCCTGGCGGTGTTGTTGAACCCGCACGGTAGCCGCGTAGCGCGATGGATGGGCATCCATCGAACCGACCACGGCCGCAATCGAGGGCTTCTTGTTGTCACCCGCCGGTGGGTGGGTCACGTCCGCGCCCAGGAAGATAACCGGTTCGTCGAATACCTAGAAATGAACCAATTCGTTAATAATACACACACACAAACGGTGCTTAGGCCATGCTGTATCTCCTACCTTTGGTCTGATTGATGGCACAAGGATGGAATTGATTCCGCCCAGTTTGACGTTGATCTTCAGGCAGAGATTGGACAGTGTCTGCGGTGACGTTTTGTTCACATTTTTTGCCTGAACGCACTGGGTCGCCATACCCAGCACGGTATCGCCTACGCGCTTGACTTCGGCTGTTGGGAACAGAATAAACGACCGTTAGAAATTTACGACCCAACAGTCAACCCACTCTTAACCTACCGTAGACTGGCGTTTTTCCCGGCAGCACGACCACCACCAACTGCAGGGCGTTGAACGTATTCTTCAGATATCTGAACATGGGCTCGACCTGATCCGGTCCGGTGGCGTACTTGCAGAAGCACGGCTGGCCGATGATGGGCATTCCGGCATCGTTGGAGATCTTCTGCAGCTGCTGGGTGAAGTTCCTCAGGGCATCCTCCCGGACGGTTCGCTGCGGCGCGAAGCAGGCAATGGCCCACACGCGGATTTCGACGCCGGTGAAAAATTGTTTGCCTCGCATGTCCCAAACCCCTTGGTTTGGTAATGCTAAGCTCACCTTGTTCTGTGGACCAGAAGGTAACTTGTTCGCTGATTATAACGTGCCACTTGACGGGGCGGATTTCTTAAAATTATAATAAGGTGCTAAGGTGCGTGAACGAACGCTTGCGAGGCGGCGATGGTTCTCAAACAGTGACCTCAGAAATAGGTATTTACATGTGACACAAATTTCCCATCTAAACAAACTTCCTAAGCATGTCATGACATGTTAGATAGCGTTTTAGGGCAATTTGCTAACCCTGAGGGACCTCCCTTAGCTCAGTCGGTAACGGTGCAGCTACAAAGCAAGACCACGCTAGCGGTGGCTGGGTTCGAGTCTCGGTTTGGTCTAGTAGTTTTTCGTTTTAGAAAATTCCTCGACTTCCCCCCTGGGCATAATAGAGTATGATTGTACTTGTCACACAATTACACTAATGCAAAAATGGTACAGGCATCGAAAGCTCTCAATTAATAACTGCGGAAGTGCATCGAGGACACTAAGCTGAGAGCACGTAATAAGCTTATATGCAATAAGCAATAAGCTTAAAATGCGAAGAAGAAGAAGAAGAAGAAGAAAATGTTGCCAGTTAATTTTCATTCTGAAATTCCCAATTTTTGCCCGGTTTTTAATATTTAGCAAAACAATGTTCAATGTTCACATCTTTTTTTAGATCGTGACCTCGTGCAAACTTTCGAAGATATTTGTGGATAAATCTTCAACATTTTTTTAAAGTTGACTATCAGCATATAGAAAGACGATATAGTGGTTCTCAGAATTTCGTAAAAATGTGTAGTTTTGTTCCTTATCGCAAAACATTATAGACCCGGATTTTTTTATTTTGCCAATAGGGTGACCATGTCCATGTTAGGGTGGCCCAAAAAATCTTTTTTTTTTTTATTTCACGAAAATTACTTTTTTCAAAAAAATTAAACTTTTGAACCATTGGGTCGATATTAAAGATCAAAATATCAAATGAAAGATAATTAAAAATACTTTTTAGAAAAAAAAAGATAATAATATTTTAAAGAATATAGATTTTTATTGAAAAACATTGATTGAATTAATTTGTTATGGCTTTCATCGTTTGTAGATAAAGGCCGGAATGTTCTTATATGTTTGTTTGAGAACTAGACTTAGTCTTTTCCACACATTATATCACAAAATCAGCGATGTGTTTTTTTTTTCGTTTTTGAGCGATATTTTTTGAAGTTATCAAGTTTTGGGTTTTTGTTCAATACTCCTATGCGACTAGACTATCATGCATCTCATTTGATTTATTTCGACTGTAACATGATCACGTATTTCAAATTACTTTTCAGTTGATATTTTGATCTTTAAAATCGGCCCAGTGAAAAACCCTTTTTATTCATCACCTTTTTTTCAAAGTCTCATAATTTACTAAAACACAGAGACATTTTGTAAATGGCACTAAAACGAGTGCTAGTGGACTGAATGCAGGGTGGCGACTCAACGAAGAAAACAAAATTCCCTGATTTTCCAGTAATTTTCAAAAAAAAATCCAGGTGCCGTGCCTACCCGGTTTTGGCAACACAACCCCATCAGCTTTAACTTTCCTCAGAATATATTAGTGCTTTATGGACATTTTCTCATGAACTACCACACGGACCTCTAGCCCAGGAAGAGTGGTCCAGTACAATTTCAAATTAAATACAGCGTTCCATACATTTTAAGAATGCAAAAAAAGACAAAAATCTCGTGTTGCCAAAAACGGGAAAGATCCGCATTTTACCCTAGGGGCATAAATTCATCCAAATCTCCTTCATCTTCATGGTGACCAGCAAATCCCGCTTAGCAATTGTCCCGTTTTCTCCCGGAATTTCGGAAATTATCGCGGTGTATGTATTTTAATTAAGCACAAAACTGAATGCGATTAAGCCGAAGGTTAAATGGGTAATTTCTAAGACAGCAACACCTTTGATGGCTCTTGAATTTGGATCTGCAACAGGTTCGAAGTCTTTCCTATTTGTGCATGAAAATTTCGCTTAAAACTTTACCGGCTTTTAGTTGATTGTTCTCAAGCCTTTCCTTTAGATTAATTTCCTTTCACAGAGATGTTTCCAGAATTCTTCTAAAATAAATTTGAAATTCTCTCTGGAAATCCCTTGTTTTTTTTTTATAATAGTACAGAAATTCTCCGTAGAACACTCCAAAAATTCTTAAAATTCATCCTTTCTTCGAATTTTAAACTCTTTCTAAGAATTCACAGGCGCTTCAATTTTTTTTAAATTTGCATGAAATTCTCCGTAGAATTCACCTCAGATCAACAATTGAAAAGGGCCTATTAGCTTTTGTGAGCAAAACTTGTAATCCCCCTTCCCTGCCAACACCATCTGACAGGGGGAATTCTCCCGCCAAGAATTGTCTTCAAATTTTGATCAAAAATATCTTGCAGTTCTCCTCTAAATTCGTCTGAAAATTGAATGGAATTCTCATTAACATTCTCTAGAAATTCCTTTCAAAGTGCGCTTGGAATTATACTCGGACTATCCTTAGAGATCTTCACATAATTATTTCGGAATTGTACCCTCAAAATTCGCGTTCCTTGGTATTTTTCAAGAATCCTGGAATCCTCATCACTCTTGGGAGATCTAGTAATCTCTCCTAGAGGTTTTCCTAAAGCTCCCTAGAAAATATTCTCTGAAATACCTAGGTGTTATCTCTAGAATTCATTCTAAAATCTGCTCAAATTTGTTTTGGAAAAAAAAATCTAAATTTCTTCAAAGTGACTGTAGTCCAAGGGTCCTAAAATCTTATTGTTTTCGAAGAGAGGACGGGGTATATTTTTCCAGATTTGTAAACTAAATTCATGCCATTTTCCCGTCGACTTCAAATTCCAGCTTTTTCCGGTTTTCCCGGTTCACTCATCATTTCACATATGAAACACTTGTTTTTAATCCCATTATATTTGTTTTGCCTTGAGCACATTTTGAGACCCAGCTCCGTAAGAAAATTATTCCGGATAATATGCTTAACCAAACGCTAATTCGCAGCGGCGCCGGTGGTGTAGTGTTCTGATGCATAACATCTCTGATCACGCCTTCCTTCGGAAGGGAAGTAAAGCCGTTGGTCCCCGGTTCATGAGTTGATGGGTCGATAGGTAGGGTCCAGGTGTGGGAGCTGCCTACCTGGCGTCGGTAGCATTGGTGCTCAGCACGGAAAACAAAATCGACGGAAAACAAACCAAAGAAAAAAAAACGCTAATTCGCGGGCGGATTCCTCCGGTGGAAAATAGTGAAGCAACGCTTTCAACTCCAAAATTCTTTAAGGTAATTCCATCTAAATTGCAATAGCAGCAACATTACCATACTAAAACTTTACTGTGAAGCTAATTTTACGAGCTAACCAGGTTTACAATGAAGACCTGGAATACTTAATACAGCTACTCTATGCTGTCAAAGCAATGCTTATCTACGTATCTTTGAATCATTATTCAATCATAAAAGTGCTACTCCAAGCAATCAAAAAAAAACTCCCAAGCAAGACCAGTATCCTAAATTCTCATTTAGTTAGTTCTCTGAGCTAATCAAACTGTGATGAACAAGGAACAAGAACTAGAAGACTAGAAGAAAATCATTATCTTCTATTTAAAGCTGGGTTCAGACAAAGCAAGTCAATTGATCAACTCAGTTGAATTCAATTGACTTGAACGTGTAAACTATGCCACTTAACTGACTTGAATTGAAAAACGTTGAACCAGACAGAACTTTTCAAGCCAATTGAATTCAACTGAGTCGATGACTTGCCTTGTCTATGCCCAGCTTAACTCTTAACTATTCTTGCATTTACTCAAAAGCGCTCCAATATGCGCTCAAGGGAATGATTTTTGTTGGACACTGCTGGATCGAGCAGACGCAGAATCTACTTGAAGGTTAAATTTTGTCAGACGCAAAAAGGTATAACATCTATTAAGAGACGCACATTCCCATAAGAAGCTTAATTTTGCAACAACTAACAACGTCCAGACCAGAATGGAACTGAACTTTTAATGAATGTGACAACACCCAGCGGGAGCTGAATTTATAATAGGCTCAAAATCATCGAAATACCCTTTTATTTGAGTAACTTTTGCTCCACTTGCAAAACTGAAACATCAAGCATTGAACAACCACAACTTCGCAACTCTATTTAAAATGTGAAATTGGAAACCATCCTCAAACTACAACGAGTCATTTAGTTGTTTGAAACTAGCAAAGTCAGCCATACTTATTGAATTGTAGCACTTACACTAACAAAAACACTTGCACACCATACACAATACACCAAACATCAAATCGAACGGACATGAATGCATCGCGGAGATGTAAAATGTCATTAATAAACAAACAAACAAACAAACATACTTATTAATATGTTTCTGTTATAAAGAAATATTTCCCTGACTTTGAATGAAATTCCCTGACAATCCCTGATTTCCCAGGTCCAAAAAGGAATTCCCTGATATTCCCTGATTTTCCGGGTAATCGACACCCTGTGAATGGGTCATTCAAAATTGTAAACAGTGGGGGGAAATTCTTGGATGCCTCGAAGCCAAAAGATATGTTATCACTCCGTAGTAGGGGAATTTACGTATTCTCGTCAATCTAAGCAGCGTCCGAACTTCTATTAGCGATTTCTCAGCGTCACACACATACATGACAGGTTTGTTTGTTGACATTTATCTGCTGCTTGCTGTTCTACCAATTCCAATCGACAGAATTGATCAAAACGGGTTGAACATGTTTTTACAACGCTCCAAACTTCTCAGGTGAGTGTGACTATTGTCGGCAGTCTCTTTTTCTTCGGCACCCTTTCCATTTGAACTGCGTGTTAACCAGCTGTTCTATTATCGGCAACTCGAAATCAGCCGTATTTTGTAGTGTGTATATTTCATGTAAAGAAAAATATGGCAGAACAGAATTGCACAGTCGTAAAAATGTAATCAGATTGAAGCTGAAAAGGTAAGGAATCGGCTTAATTCATTCAGCGAAGAGTTTTGATGGGAAAATACAGTGAAATTAACGTTTCAATTTCGGTTGCCGAAA